CTGCTGGAGCCCGATTTTGGACTGGTATCGCCAAGCACTTATCTGGGTCATCGACGGTGAGTAATTCAAACTTAGTATGCATATGTAACAATTTAAAGTCTGCTTGTGCATTTGCAACTCTGCGGAGTAAATAGAAATAGTAGGCATAAAATTATTTGAAAGGAATTCAGATTTTATTACATAGTCGCAACTGGCAAGCAAATCGCGGTTATTAGTTTCGAAATTTTCGCGAATATAATATCTTACCGCAGACACTCTTATCTACAAAAGCTTGCCTATATCGGGATCCTAGTATAAGCATTAATAATAACTTTGTAACGAATCGAACAAACAACTGGTATAAACACAGTAAACTGGCATAAACAAGTACTGATGCTATAACAAAATGTTATAAATTTGTATTGAATTCAACTATATAACATTGTTTGTTTTTTTTTTTTTTGTTAATTGTTTTTTGCCTAGAGAGAAACAGAATTATAGCTTTGAATCATTTAGCAGGGTCTTGTTTTTCCTTTTCTGAAAAAATTTGGCATAGTAATGTATATTTTTTATACCTACAGAAAATAGAGATTTCAATGAAGATACTTTTTCAATATTAAATCAAAATAAAAATATAGTGTGTGTTGGGACATAAAAATGTTAGTTTACCCCGAATTTCGTAAAAGATAACAATAAAAAACCAAAAACTCGAATATTTGAAATTTTCACATACATTTTTAGGTTATGTGAAAAAGGTGTGAACACAAAAGTTGTAGATATTTTTATTACCTAAAACTTTGTCATTTAACTTTTTTCCATTGGACTTTTAGTTTTTCAAAAAATTGATTGAGATAAACGATTTTTATCCTTAAATACTCAAAAACCCCTTTTCTTCCACTTACCAACCTCAGTGCGTCCGTAAATTATTTTTCCTCTCATTTTTGTTATTTTCTCTTCCTTTTTCAACGAGTTTCATCCTATTATTATAATTTTTTTTTTTTTGTTTTAAAACATTATCTACCCTGGTCTATAGCACAACTATTTCGTTACAAATGCATATATCAACATTTATTTTTTTTTATTGTTGAACACTAAATACAAATGTATTTAATTTTCTACAGATCGACGTCGATCTCTAATGTTACTGGTGCTTCATTATCACGTCGTAGTTCTGAACGTGAACTGACCGACAGTGGTGCCAAGAAGCGTGCAACATCGGCCGGTGGCACAGATCGGCATGAAGGTAAGTGTAAACGATTAACGCGCACTCGTTGTCACTTATCACGTTTGCAGTTTGTAAAAGCACACAAGTTAGTCAATGCCAGGAACGCTCACAGAATCACAAATTAAGAAAGCACAATGCAATGGTGATCGTATTCAGCTGCAACTAACTGTATTAGAAAGCAAAAGTTTGTTGAATCACGTCACCATTAACAAGTGGCTTACTTAATTTCACACTTTTAATAAATTATCTCTCTTTTATTAATGGTTTTTAATAATTTGCAGTTGAGAAATATTTATTTATATATATGTTCAATATTTTCCTTTTTTTTTTACTTGTGTGTACTTTCCACTCTTCGTTATAGTTTCGAGCTGCATTTACTGCGTATAAATGTGTGCGTGTGTGCGTTGAAATAAATTTCTGTATTTTTCGTATTATCTATGACGTAAATATTTGAAGTATATACATAATTTTGATTTAGTGTCCACTGTGAATTCGCTACTGCTTTACTTTCGATTTCCCCTCTATACTCTTGCGAGTTAAATAGCAGATCGTAAAATATAAATATGTTATGCATACATATATTATTGGCATATTCGTTTGCGGTGTTGCAGCCAATATGCAAGAAGTATTTTTTATTTTGAGTTGTTTTTTAGTTTGGAAATTTTTCTTCTTTAATTTTCTTACAACGCATATGCCTTGGTTGATATACAAACATGTAACTTTCCTTTTTTTTTATAATTGGTTAATGTGTGTGTGTGTGCACATAAAAGAAAATGTGTGCCATGCATTACAGCTTACTTCTTTCTACTGTTTCGGCATCTCAACACAATATTAATCATACATGCAGCTGTCAAAAAAACAATTTATTCTCTATCAAGCATCAACACCTTCATTTTTACTTGTGCTCTTATAATTTTCCAACAATTTCCTTAAAAAAAAATTCTATACATACCATATGTATGATTTTATGACCGCATATGCATTTACTACACACATAATTACATACATATGTACACTTTTGTATATTATTGTTTTGTACGATATATATATGTATATATATAAACTTAGTATGCAATTATATATGTACATATCTACATACATACATATGAAAAAAATAATACAATAATAAAAAAAAATTATGTAATTAACTTGTATAAAAACAATCTGCAATCACCCTTTGTACAAATACAATACAATAAATACACCACACAGATCATCGTCGTAAGTCATCATCCATGTATGAAGTTTTCAATTGGGGATACTCGAACGATGAGCCACCCAAACGTTTTTCCCTCTCCATTGTGGGCAGTGAAATCAATATTGATGATCCCCCAGCTGCCACAGTCACAGCAAATGCAGGCCATGTACGCACTTATACTGCTCATCATCAGGCACAGCATCATCAGCACAGCAACAACAACAACCATAGTATAACAAATATAAGTGGGCATAGACAAAATGTTGCAGTAGACTCTGCAAGAGCAGCTACAACAGCAGCAGCAACAACAACCACAAGCACAGCTGGCAAAAGCAGTCAATCGGCTACAGCAGCAGCGACATTTAATTACTCTAGTAAGACGAGTGCGGCTGTGCGCCACAAAAATCCAAAGAGAAGATTTACACCCTTTCTGCTCTGCTCGAATGCTCAGAATGTTTTCGTAAAAATTTGTTTTTTGTTTTTTCTCGTTTCGTACCTACTAATAGTGAATAGTCCAGTCTCGTTAAGATTCTAGATTTTCCATTTTTCAACAAAAAGTTTCTCTAAAGTATATGGATATTCAATGGAAGTTCCATGAGCCACTGAATTGTATACATATTTTAAATTATGACATCTTTTACTTGAAAATGTAAATTGTTAATTGATATGACGTTGATAATCTTAAATTCAGTTTTTTAATATTTCATATTTTAAAATATTTGTATCTTTTTACTATTAGCGGTAGCCCCTAAAGTCGCAAAAAGTTCAAATCAATTACCTTGGTTTTCAAGTTTTTGTAAAAAAAAAATTTTGCAAAGGCTACTCTCCAATCCAACAGATGTTCCGTGTCGTTCTAAAATTTAAAAGTTTTAGTTTTCTTTATATTACGGCCGACGCCCGAAACTAGCGAAGAAACTTTAACAAAAATCAAAAAACAAAGTTTTTCTTTCAATTCACTGCCTTCCCGGCAAGGTCTTAGAATCTTCGCCGCAAGCTTTTAGAATCAATCATAACCAACTGGACTATTTATTTTTGAACATTTTTTTCTCTCATAACCTCACATTAACTTTTTTGTGTTTTTATGTTTGTTTGTAATTTTTTTCTAACGAATGAGATATAACAATGAAGAAACGTTTTAGATTATTAATAACTTTAATTTATTTTATTAAATTTGTAAAAAAAAAAAATATTCCCCGCATGATTTGGGTAGTTTTTGTATTGATTGCATGTTCTTTAATCGTAATATTGCTCGTTGAGTCACTTTTAGTGAGGCTCTTTCAATTATTTGCTCTGAAGTTATCGCATCGAATTTTTAATAAATCTGATATCGAACGTATACCCTTCAAGTATTCGAATCGTAATACCTAGTTTCACATGTTTTTCGAATGCCCTGACCGATTCTAACTAATGTTTTTGTTTTTGTTTTGCATTTATGCTGTAATGCTGTGTGGCATGCTCGCTCAGTTCAGTGTGTAGTACGCGCGTACATACATACATACGCATATATATAGTGCAATTAATATGCTGATCTTGCTGCTTTGCGCCTTTTACCCTTATTTTTTTTTTCGTAATATACCTATTTTTCAAACGTCTTAAATTCGTTTTTAAACTAAAATACCGAAATCAATACTGTACATTTGTACAAATTCATAATCAGAAAGAAAAAAAAACCATAATAATTTAAACAAATGTAAATATCTATGTACTTACTCAAAACAAACTATCTGTACAAAACAAAAACACTGTACCACAATTTTACAGACGATAGTGTCGATAGTCATGCAACACAAATCGTGTTTAGAAGTGTAGCCCGCAGAAAAACCGATTTGATGCCGACAATACCCAGCCCCAGGGACGGGCATTACGGTTCCAGATCGTCACTGAGCCACACGCCACGCACCCCAGGTAAGCCAATAAGTAACTAAACAGACCAAAACCCAAAAAGAAAAAAAAACATCTAATCAAATCCATACAAACCAATCAACAACAGTAAATAATTCATATCCACCAAACCAAAACTTTGAAACAAAGAAGTAATTTATAATTAATACATGTTAGTAAATACATACCTACATACATACATACATACATGCATTCATATATCCATATTTTATAAGACTTCTTGTACAAATCCATCAGAAACACAAACAATTGCATAATCATACAGACCTCGCTTCAGGAAAACACATCCACTCCATCACTTTTTCTCTTCCAACAGTCCCGCGTTTTCTTACACAAATATGTTTTTTTTTAATGATTTTCTGTCTTGTAATATTTAATTTATTACTTTTAAACAAAAATGCATTTCTGATTTCGTTGTGGCATTCTTTCGTGCGATTTCCATCCTGCAGCTCGCTAATTCGTTTTTCTTTTGTTATTGTAATTGTATGTTTCGATTTACTGTACATATAATTTTTTATTACAATATTCATAATTGCCATCGACTATTTGATCGATTTTTGTCTTATAATCATTACTTGCAGCGTAAGGAGCGATATTAAACTTTATGTTGCTTTCAGCTTCTCCATCTGTTGCATACTTTTTGGCACACATTTTAAATCTCGCAGTACTCTCAACACGATCGGGCTCGTGAATTAATTATTCCAGCATAATAATTCTTTATTTATGTTAGTATCTTGAGTCGCATGCCGAAATGGATATTCTACCGTGTAAAATTATAATTGGTCCGTGTTATAAAATTGTTCGTTGAGATATTGAGGGTCATCACAACAGAATTTTTTTTTTGTTTAATGCTATTTCTGAAAATTAGGGTGTTCAATATTGCCTCTGAAAGGTTTTTAATTGATTTCTTTTTACGGAAAAACGTTCTTGAATTTCTCGGTTAAAAATGTCCACACAATTATAAAATCTCTTTGAAGGTCTCGGGCAGTACCCCTTTGAAGAATCTTGCCTAGGTAATATTCACCACCACAATTTTGAAGAGTTTAACCAAATATTATATATTCGGTATTTACTTAAATTTATATTGGTTGCATACTTTTAGGGTGCAATAAAAAGAAAAAACATTCCCGCGCACTTTTGCTTAACACAATTTTTTACTTTTATTTAAAAATTGCAAATCAGTCTATTCCTAGCAATTTGCTAACAATAAATAAATTTTTTTTTTCCAATTTTTTAAGAGAGGTAATATAATGGATCACAAATTGCGCATTTTTCTTTCGTTATTATTTACTATTTCGTCTCAATTATTATAAAGACAGTAGGCAGCCAATTTTAAGCTTAAAACATGCTTTTTTCGAAACCAAATTTTAGATACTTATTTGATTTTACTATAATTTAATTTATTTGCATTTATTCTTCGCTTGTATACTCGAACTATCGCTACCTACATTATTTGTACATTAATAAACTCGAATTTGCAATTCTCAAGTTTGCTGAAAAACCTTAGCCCTCAAGCTTTGAAACTGACATATACTGAAGTTTGATGATTTGCTCATAAATATTTTCTTTTAGGAAAATCTGTTACTTTTTCTAGAACTAGGCATTCTCTTATTAATTTGATGTACTGTTTCTTAAAGAACACATTGCTTTATTTATTTTGATTTAATTTTTATATTATCTGGCTATTTTGCAAATTTTTTGCTGCATGTCTTAAGCCACTCCAACATTTTTTCCACACAACTGTATTTTGTGTCGTCCCCTGAAATCAATCACATTCGCTTTTTCACCTGTACTATGTTTGTAAATCACTGTGATTATTTGCACCGAACCAAAGCAGCAATGTCACGCGCGTTGTGTTGTTAGTTGCGCCTGCGCCAAACACCACATGCACTTAGAGCGATATAAATTATAATATATACATTTACTACATCAACATATTTAGATATTCCTTTCGTTCAATTAATTTAATTTAGCTAGCTTAATACTAAGTATATTTTAAAATCATTAATATTTTTTCAAATTTGCAATTTATGTATTTAAAAATTCTGATAATTTCAAAATACTTATTATCAACCGTATGTATTTCAACACAAATTCAACTCACTCAACTCAAAATTCAATTCAATTCACTGCTCCTCTCCTGCATCATAAACTACAACAACAACAACAACTACCACGAAAACTGTCATAAATCAGGGCGTGCCTTCTCCATGAGTCGTCTAGATCAATTGGCTCAACCGATTCGCCGCAATGGCGAACACATACGCGCCATACTCGAGCGTGAGCGTCGCGAACAAATGGAACTGCTGGACGAAACCGAATCGCTGGGCGGTGGCCGAAGGCGCAGCAGCAAACCACGACACGGCAGCGGTAGCAGTAGTGCTGGCGCTGGCGGTGGCAGCAGTGCCATGTCGCGCAGCATGACACATCTGGCCAGCGGACGCGCCAAATACACACTCAGCAGCAACAGTACAGGTGGCGGCGGCGGCGGCGTCGGTGGCATCATGTCAAACAGTTTTCGTCCACTGAGCGGTGGCCAACGTGATACCACTTGTAAGAGTTTGACACAGTTAAACAATTCGTGGTCGAGCGCTACACCGCGCTCGAATTTGGGCTTACAAACAGCTGCTACTAGAAAGTATCTGCAATCATCATTAGCTTCATCACCATCAGCGATTGGGACTAAACGCAGCGAGCAGCTACTAAATCATCTTACTAACCCCTACCGTTTCGATCCAAACTCATTATTGATCATGAATTCTAGTTTCTCAATAACAACAGGTGTGTGTGTGAAGTTTATAATTTTTTTTGTTTTTTATTACAACTTCTCCCACTACTTTTACTCGTAACTTTAACAACCAAGCAACCAAGAAAGCTAAACTCCTAAAAATGTACTAGTAAATGACTAAATTTTCTATCGAATATAGAATTTTGCTTAATCCACTTCATTGTTATAACTACAAACAAACACAATTTATAATTTGATTTTTCAAATGCTAAGTATTATATTTGTGGACCTCCTCTACATTGTATTTCAGTATTTCACTCATTACTCACTTACTCTTCGTGTTAATCACCACTCTGTTGATCCACTGCAAAAAACTTACAATTAATCGACCATTTGTTTATGGTCCTTCTGTGTAACACTAGGGCACTTTTGACTCATTTTCATGCCTGCAGCTACAAACATTTTATCCACACAGTATGCATTCTATACAATTGTTCCACTTTACGATAGTAAATTATATAAAACACATAATTTCATGCTGGTACTTTTAAATTGTTTTCATAAAACTTGAATCTTTGTGTAAATGAGAACTTACACACAGCGGAAGCGACTGTTAACACCATGAAACAACATACTTACACTTTTTCACCACACTTTATTTAAATAGATTGCATTATTGTAGTAATTTCTCGAAATTGTTGAACAAGATTTTGTTTTTTAATTTTTTTTTAACTTCTTTTTTTTTTAACATTTTCGTTGCTGAGATTTCTTTAATCTGAAAAACAAAACAAAAACGATTTTGCTCAACAATTTCCGCTTGAAATTAAGATCTTCTTTGTCTATTAATAAAATTGAACTTCGCTGGTGGCTTAATTGTTATAATAATGTGTTGTATTATATAAAAATTATATTTCTATAAAAATGTATGCAAAAATGTATTTCAAATTTCGAAACACTTTTAAAAGTATACTTGTTGAACTATGTTAAGAGAAACAGACACAAAAAATATTATTGATTGCTAAAATCCGCTTCTGCAAAGACATTTATTACATAATATTACCATTTTGCTTTAAACACATTAAAAAAAAAAATTGATTAAAAAACTATTCAAAATCTTAAGGTAAAATACTTATAAAATTATTTTTGCTCACATAAATTATTTATGCGAAAAAAAATTTTGGCCTACATTTCGGCGCCGAACTTTTCTTTATATAAATTTCAAGAGCAAAGCGGTTTTTTCGCCTAATTTTTAGCAAACATCAACCACAAATCATAATTATTAAAATGTATATACTTGTATTACCATTTATAATCAAATTTCTTATATTTTTCTTCAAAATACATCTTTTCGCTAAGAAATTGAAAACTTCATCAACAAGTATACTTATTCGCCCGCATTATTAACCCATTCGCATATATTTGCGTTAGCTGTAAATATGCAGATATTTAAAATGCTTTTTTTTTTTTTTTTTGTACATTGACTGCTGTTTTATGTTAAGAAAATACTCGCAAATATTCTTTACTCTTATACCAAATTCTAATTATTAAATTACTGTTGTATAGCGCCATAATATTGAATATTTGTTTGCAAGCATTTTTATTCCCATCTCCCAATAGGCTAGAGCAGTGGTTCCTTCTCACTCAATACAAAAACAACAAAAGGCTTATATTTGCTTAGCTTTAATTGGTTTTGGGTGTCAATTAAATGTATATTTATATGTATGTAGTCTATGTAAAGAAATTTCGGTTATTGTGTTTTAAAATTCTGTTTCTTAAGCTTATCTTCAAAGTCGTTTGTTTTTTATGTGTTTTCAGTTTTGGTGGTGGATTTATTTATTTATTTTCATTACATCCACACTTTTACAAATAATGTATATTTAATTTTCCATAAATCCATCATTTGACTACTCATCATTTGCTGTTTCGTTAATTGATCAAACAACGCTCTTCATCAGCAAATTCATTTATTATTTCTTTGTACATATGTATTTTCTTTTTCTTTGTTTTTCTTTAACATTTATTATTCACATGTGTCGTTGTGTTGTTGCATCGGTGTTAGGTTCACGTTCTGGAAATGTCACCCCAGGCGGCAACATCAGCACTTCAAGACCGGGTAGTGCAATGTCCACATCCACAAATTTGTCCACATCTGGTTACGTGGCTAGAAGATCCGTACCGGCTACACGTAAGCAACGGCCAGCTAGTATTGCCGGTACTGGCATGTCGCTGGAGGGTGAGTAAATGTGCTTCTCATACATGTACATAACTACATACAACATACTTACATGCATATATGTACATTAATATTAACTTGTACATATGCAGACGCGCGAACATTTCAAACAGTAGTTCTCTAGTATGCCTAATATGCTTGGTTGTTATGTTTCTTTGTTCTATTAGTTGGAATATATACTCTCTAAACAACTCTAGCAATACATTATTTTACTAACATTTCGCGCTAACTTACAGACCTTAATAAACACAAAAAAGATAATAGGCCGCCAGTGAAGGCCTCAACACCTTCATCTACGACAACATCAGCACAAAATACCCCCAAACGAACATCAAATTTGATGTCAACCTCAATGATTGTGTCATCGTCTACACGTTTGTCCAGCGCTGAGAAGAAAACTCCAGCTAAACGGGTAAGTCACACACATCATGATAGATTTGCAGCACATTATAATGTAATAAATAAAATTTTACGCGCATTTCTAGGAGTCAGTGACACCCAAAGCCTCCACACCCAAATCGCTTTCAAAAACGTCCAGTTCGGATCGCTTAAATAGAGCTGGCAAAGATATTATGAGTAAATCGTTAATATCACCATCTCCGAGTCAGACACTTTCACGAAGTGAAAAAGACAAGGCGACTACAATTGAACGCAAAAAAGAGGAGGCACCGGCTCCTCCGGTGCAAAGCAAAGACGAAAAGAATTCTTTGAATATTGCGAAATCCGAAGCTGAGTCTACGGCCGAAGCGTTGGCTGCACCCAATGAGGCAGCAGTAGCAGTGGCCGCTGAAACAGTTAGCACAGAACATGCAGCAACTACAGCTCAAAGTGTTGAAGCGCTGACGCCAGAGAGAACTTTTACTGAAACAAAGACGCAGCACTTGATTGACGCTGAGTCTGTTGAGTTGAATCAAGTCGGTACTGCTGCTTTGCCGCCAGTACAGCAACAGCAGACGGCAGTAGCGCAGCCACAGCCCCAACCACAATTACGTTCACAAAACGGCAGCAAAGAAAATTCAGAAGTGCGTGAACTTACGCCACCAACACAAAATGGTGATAATAATGATTTGATGACCGCTTCGATGATCGCCAGAAATAAGATCACAACTGAGGAGGAGGCGAAGGCTGCATTGGCTGAACGTCGTCGTCTGGCACGTGAGGAGGCTGAGCGACAGGCCGAATTGGAGCGTCAGCGCCTAGAGGCCGAACGCCTTGCCGAACTGAAGCGTCAAGAGGAGGAGGCCGAACGGCAGCGGGCTTTCGAAGAGGAAGCCAATCGTTTAGCTGGGGAGCAACGTCGTGCCGAGGAAGAGCGTTTGCGCCAAGCTATTGAAGTGAGTTTAATATTGTCACTAACATACATAACACAATAAGCTAAATTGCCGCGATTTCTTATATTTTAGGAGGCAAAGCAAAAAGAAGAAGAAGAGCGTCGCAAACGTGAAGACGAAGAAAAGCAACGCGTACAACGCGAGGAGGCCGAAAAGAAGGCCAAGGAGGAGGCGGAGAAACAACGCATTGAGGTTGCCGAACGTCTTAAACGAGAGGAGAAGGAGCGCGAAGAACGACGCAAACGCGTTGAGGCGATCATGTCGCGCACACGTAAAGGTGCCAGTGGTGGTGGAAGCGCGACAACACCCAACTCCACACCAGTAAAGGTAAGTGTGCGTAATTTCTTATATTTTTTCGGGTTTACTAACCACTATTTTACTTTTATTCGTGTGCAATAGGAAAGCACAACGCCCAAACCGGCAGCTGACAATTTGCAACAGGAAACACAACAAGAACAATCCTTTACAACTACAACCACAGCAATAACTAATGCTGTCAGCAGCACTGATAGTAGCTCCACATCGGGCTCCACCACGACTGCGACCACACCAAATCCGCCACAAAACATTGCTCCAGTAGTGCCCACAGCTGTGGTGACCGTGGTGCCTACAAGTGAAAAGGTGGAGCCGCAGAATACGCAGGCTATGTACGAGCAAGCTGTCATTGACAAGGAAGCTGCGCTTATAAACAGTTTCTCCAATATGCTAATAGATGAAAATGCGAAAAATCTGCATCAACAGCAACAGCAACAACATTTCCAGCAACCAACACAAATTCTCGAGGTGAGCAATGGAAAATTGCCAATAAACAGTGATGTGCTATTGCAAAATACCACAACAGCAACAACAATAAATACGACTGCCGTTTCAAACGGCAACGGCCATCACATCGAAAATTTAAACAACAAAAAGTAAGCAAGTGAAATTCCTTAGCAATTGACTTTAATATACATTGCACGACTGGAAAAATATGCTTTTGTAAACGATTTGCTTAGGTATTAGATTCGAGTTACTCATGCCATTGGGCTAAAACAAATTAATTTGGTGTAAGGAATTGGGTACATATGTATATGCTTGACACGTCATTTTTACGGTGAAAATTTTCTAAAATCACTCGCATGCTACACGTTTATCAAATATTCAAAAATTTACTTGGCATTTGAAACGTTGAAAAGAAAAATAATTGTAATTTTTATACCATAAACAGGGTATTTTAAGTTTGTAACACACCGAAGGAATGTTGAGCTGAGTTGATTTAGCCATATCTGTCTGTATATTTGCGAATTGATCCCTAAGTTTTTGAGATATGACTCTAAAATTTTGCATACAATCTTTTCTCCCCAAGAAGCTGCTCATTTGTCGGAACTGCCGATATCGGACCACTATAGCATATAGCTGCCATACAAACTGCACGGTCAAAATCAATTCCTTGTATGGAAAACTTTTTTGTTTGACAAGATATCTTCACATAAATTGATTACTGGCATTGATTACTGTCCAAGGCAATGCTACAGCTTCCGAATAACAATAACAAATTGTTCAGATCGGACCACTGTGGCATATACACACAAGCCGAACGATCAAACTCAAGTTCTTGTTAGGAAACTTTTGTATTCGTAAGAGATATTCTAACTTCGGCGCAAGCGAAGTCAACGTTTTTTCCTGTGTGTAATTTTAAGTATTAGAAACATTTATACAGACATTCATCATTGTGAATATTAAATTCGTTTTCGGTGATCTGAATTTACTTTGATATATTAATATTCATATTATAAGTCTTTATAACTATTTGTTCTTAAATCACGTCAATAACTTCTGATACCGTTCACAATTTTGGTAAAGAAAATCGCGCTAGTATTTGTGACTTCATTTCCTCATGCAGTAAACGCTTCAATTGCCAATATTCCGCGCTTAATTGAGAAGACTTTTGCACCGCTTGTTATCAAAAAAAAATACTTGGTATTATGGTTTGTTTTGCTTCTTTGTAATTGCACTTTACTAAAAATTATTTTCGAAAATTTCCTTATCTTAATTTGCTAGCCGCTTTGATTAATGTTTTTCTTTTACCTTGAATTTTCCTCCCCTAAAAAGTGATATCAATAACCTGCAGGATGCCGTAACACCAGCAACAAATCAGTTAATTGATTTAAGCATTGAGTCACAAGATATCAACAATGCAGTAAACTTCAACAACAACAACAGTTTGTTAAATACAACAAACGCAACACTAGTCACTGCAGATAGTCACGATAATAAAGGTTTGCAAATGAAACAATTAAGCAAATCAAAATAGCAACAACAAAAAATGCACTATATTTCTTAATTGCTATTTTCCGTTTTCAGATATTTCACTGCTGTGAGTCTGAGCGTGCTAGCAGCCTGCAATTATTGGACGCGCAAACTAAAAAACTGCAACAAAGATATATAATGCTGTACAACTATGAGAATTAGGAGAAAAATCTATTGATTGTGGCGCGTTAGCGTTTATTGAAGTTTTGTGTGTATGTGCGACAATTTATGGTTACTTGACATTTAAGGCGTAATTAATACGAGTTTAACTAATTTAAAATTATATATATATAATATAGAAGAAACAAAAAAACAAAAATGCTAAAGCCAAGTGCATATTAAGAAAATGTTAGCAAAACAAACACTGCTTAAGCTCATTTGATATATTTAAAATATGTGTAGCAATGAGAAGCAAAAGCATGAAAAAAAAATAAAACCTTTAACTAGGATATAAATATAAATCACAATAAATTATGATGAAAATGAGGGAAAAACATAAAAACTACGGCAATTGTTCCTCCCGTAAAATAAAAGAAAGCAAAAACTAAGCATAGTTAGAGAGTGAAAATATGAAGCATACATAATTAATTGCTTGAAAACACATATATTGTGTATGCTAAACCAGGCAAAACATAAAAACAAGCAAATGAGAGACGATTAACTGCATAGTACCGAAAAGCGAACACTTTCGAAAAGAGCAACGCATTAAATTTATAAAACCACAAAATACTATTGAAAAAACGCATAATTTCTGCGTACCGTTAAGCAAAAAATCAAAAACTGCTATGAAAACTTAAAATTTTTCGTTCAAAAAAAAATTCAAGTTTCCATAAAAATTAAAAATTTATGCAATGCAGTCCATTTAGCTTACATGCATATTCAACCATATAATGGAAGAGATATATTAAACAAGAGCATAAAGTAACTATTTCAGGTAACTAAGGGAACACAAACACCATGCGGAATGGTGTATAAATTAAATATACCCAATGTATTTGCAAATATATTATACCAAATTTGAAGCAATCCGTGCTTTTTTTCGTGCGAACCACAGTGCTACATGCGCTTTATAATCTGTCTGTAGATCATGGTTCATGAGAGTTCTCTTTCTGCATAAAGCAAAAGCAGTCAACAAACGCATATTTGTATTGGGCTTTAAAGTACATCTCGGATGTGTATTTTCCGTCTTATTTTAGTACTTTTTTTTATATTTGTTTCATACATACTCTGTATACTGCAAGGGTGTTTGCCTGTGTCACGACAATATTTCTTATTTGCTATATGCTGAGAAATGTGCTAATTTTTATTAGTAATTTTGCACACGATGATATTGATTTGAGCCAAGGGCTGAAAATATGCATCTATACTTCTTTCTTAAATAATAAATAGGCTAAATGTATCTTTTATCTAGCAAATGCTTTTCACCCCCAATTAAATTATTGGGTTTTTAGCTGCTTTCCTTCATTCGCTCATTATATTTTAAACTAATTCATGTTTTCAAAAAGGCTAAACGCATTAAGGATGCGTAACATTATAAATACGGTATTAATTCTAACTGATGAAATAATCAATTGAGTAAAACTTCCTCCTCTTATACGGGCATATAGAAAGTAGTACTTTTTTAGTGTTAGAATTTGCTAAATTGGCTTGTACCTTAGGCACCAGACACGCAAGAAGGCAACACTTGGCAGTTATATATTAAGAAGCCAGTTTGGGCAGCCAGTTAATCATACAAAGGATTGGTGGCTAGACAAAAAACTATCTAACTGAAAAGTAAAGTGGTGGACGCGCTTTAAAATATTATAAATCAAAATAAAGCGAAAGCGAAGCAAAGTAATGTATATCAGCAATTTAGTGTGCGAGTTAGATTATATAATATATATATATATATTTATGTGTAGTTAATGTATTTTCCGATTTTTTGATGCATATATATATTTTTTAATTTTTATGTTATCTAAATTTACATTTACATATACATATATTTGCAAAGTTTATACTTAAAAATTAGAAAAAACCAATCAAACAAAATGTTTTAATTTGTTAATATAACTTATTTATATATACACATTGTAATAGCTGATACAACATTAAAAAAATATTTTTTTCATATAATAACTTCGAGCATATAAAGCTTATTTAAAAGAAAGCTGAAAACGCATGGACTGAAATTTTGGTGGTTGTTTCACGAATGAAGTTAAAAGTAATTGGCTATTGTATTATTTCACAATTTCACGCTTAAAAGTCAAGCACATTTTATGAGTATTCCAGCTTTTGTGAATATATTTATACATCTGTATGTCGTTATTTGGAGTTACTGGTGATTCCAAAAAACACGAAACTCATTTTCACCAAACTAAATAACGCAGTCGGCTTTTTTAAAAATCCGGCACAAGAATAGCGATTTGTGGCATCGCTGGTGCATCGCTAAGCGTTTGCACATTTACATTTGACGATTGAGGAGCCTATTGAATAGTTAGTCAAACGCCAGGTATGCCCTAAATAAATGCATGTATTGAATTTTATGTTCACCGCTAAATATATATTTTTAAGTCTGTAATCGGAAACTGTAAACTGAACGAAATTATGCAAAATAATTTAAATTATTATTATATTAAGTAAAGGAGCAGCGCCAAAATAGACTTTTTATAAACTATAAAAATTTAAATAAATATTTTAAATCGCATCCAGTTGTAATTTTTAACATACGAGTATTTCGTTATAAAAGTTGTTATTGTAATCCCGATAAATGCCTCTGATTTTTTAAAGTTTGCGAAGCCCTCATAGGGGCTTCAACTGTGGCAACTTATTTCCGTTTGGCGCTGTGCTTTCCACTTTAGTAAGTAATTAACCAAAAAGTTTATGAAAATTAACTGCAAATCACCGGCAATAACGCTGTTGTTACAATTACTATAATTTGCATATCAGAATACAAGCATCTCCACCTAAATGTACTGTGTAACTAATAAACGAAAGCTTATTCAAAATATTTAAAACAGTAAGATATGAGTGGAACTACATTGAGCATACAAACCAAAATGTTTGGAAATGAGCGCGCTTAATGTGTTGGTCAACTAGCACTAGCTTTATTTATACGTCTACATCTTGTCTGTTTGCATTTTATCTATAATTTAAAGCGATTACTAAAATATACAACATATATTTTATAACTAAAACACACACACTTACACCAACATTGCCTAAGTTTCAGCTTCATAACTAAATCAAGTGATTAACATTGAGCTAATACAAAAAAAAATATTAAAACTATCATGCGTGTATGCATAAATGCATAATATTGCATGTATCTAAACTTATTTAACTGAAATTCCCAATTTAAAAGGTCTATCTATCGTTATCGTTACATTAAAATAATTATTAATAATATTAAAATTTATTAAATTATAAATCGATGTAACTAACTACGAAAACAAGTAATCATGCAAACTGACAAGCGATGCCGAAAATAAATTTTAGGTCAAGTAAAAAGTTCGTTCGGGTTTTTATTGATTTTTCAGAAGATGATAACTTATTATTTATATATTATTATATTATTAATTTTCGACGGCAGGACTCCCGACGTGTGGTGCATCTGGGACATCGAAATTACCGGAACGAAACCTAGCAAACCACTTTTTTGCTACACGTTCGTTTACAGTATCGGGCCCATAAATTAAATTAATTTTTTCAGCCGCTTTTTAGCCTTGATCGAAGAAAAATTGTAAAACGTAGCGAATTTTTTCTTCTCTGGTGTTCATCTCTGCCGAGCGCTCACAACCATGGTATCGTAAAGGGGGAGTAGAGAAAGAATCAGCTGATCGATGTAAACAAAGCTATAGCTGAGAGGGGTCCATGGAGAAACGTCAAGTCCGCCTAGGGGTTGAGTTTCTAGTGACAGCCAAGATGGCTGACTTTTAACCGGAAAATGGTTGCATCTTGCTATTTTCAAGACAAGGAGAAGAAAATAATGTTTTCTTTTAACGAAAGTTAAGCCGTGTAAAACAAGGCTAATTTCTATGATTTTTTCTGTTCGAAACTTCAATTTTTCACTTTTTGGAAACACTGAAGGAAAAAATACGATTTTTCCGGTTGGTTATTTTGTTATTGTAAAATGAAAAATATTAAAACATTTAAAAAATGCGCGTTAATTAATAAAAACCCTAGAGTCTACGTAACTGGAACGAATCCGGAATTTACAGCAGTCTAAGGACAATCAACTCGGTAGTACAGCTCTGCCGCTACAGCAACAACCATTAGGTAGGAACAAATAAGATAATAAGAATATAAATTTTTAATAACCAATTTTTAATAAATTTAAATTTTATTTTAATAATGACTTTTTGGAATAGAAAACTTTCAGTCATACTTTCAAAGCTTGTATTAATTTTAATATGGTTAATGTTTCTGTTCGCAAACATTCTTCACACTATAGCCGATTAAAATGTAACTGATCTTGAACATTTTTCTTATTCAGTATTTCCAATTCTAATAATCGGAGCCGGTGCATTTCTTTTCGATGTAGCTCTTTTTTCTTGAATTCTTCTTTTTGCAAACGGAGTTTTTCAACTTTCAGACGAAACTTTTTTCGGTTAATACGTTCCGATCCTTTTACATGTGTATTGATTTGTTCCAACTTTTCTTTAATTTCTTTATACAATTTAGCTTGAACTTGTAGTTGTCTTGTTAGCAACGTTTCTATCTGTGTGGCGGCGAGTTGTGTCGTTGACGCAGATTGAAAAGGATTATCTCTACCTTGTTTCCTCTCAATGTTTACTATAGGGTATTCATCCTCCTCAAGACACAATTGCTCGATTGGCTTTTTGATTGGTTCATCATCTTCTGGAAAAACCAAAGTACTGTCGGATGAATGCTCACTTGTGACACTTTGTAAATCTATTGATGAGTCTTCCTTTTCGTGATTATCCCTGCCGCGTTTCTTTTTCTTTAAAGTTGCCTTTGTTGAATGATGGTTTTGTTCGTGCTCCTTTTTAATTTCATCGTTCTCATCATCTTCTAAACATACCAATCCTTTATTTAGATGTAATAAAAATACTTCCGTGTGCCTCTTCTTCAAATGGGTGATAAGACCTGAAGTGCAACAACCTTTGCGTGAGAAAATTCTTTTACATATACGGCAACAAGCCTTTTCATTGCTGTGTGCATCGAAAAAATTCCAAACAAAGCTGGATTTTCTACCTGAGCGCGATTTTGACATTTAAATTTAATTTAGTAAATTATGGCAGAAATAAACAATATTTGGAAGTTGAAATGTAAAAGGAATACAACAAACAATTTTTGGCGTTGCCTGACTGCTGCCGGTAGCCGTTTTGAATAACATGTTTACATAAAATATTTAAATTTTAATGTAATTGCAAATTAAAAAATTTAAAAAGATATATAAAATAATAAAAATCGCTTTCTCTTTCGTAGAAAGCCAAGTCAGACACATTTCAAGCAAATGTTATCTCAGAGAATGTAAAATATGTAATGTATGTAATTACATTCTCTGGTTATCTTTCGCAAACAAATGGCATCCACGGTTTCTATTTACCGTATTCATAAATTATACATAAAAAAATTAAATTTTATTCACCGTAAATTATAATATATATAATTTTGAATGAATTTCCAAAAACTCACAATAAATTAACTAACTGCTAAAGTGGTATTTAAAACAGATAACTTTATTAAATTATGTGCCCCAACAGAGTTTCGATAATATGGCATTCAGAGAGCTTTTTAGCGAGCTTTTACTTTTGGAAACCTTTTGGACGTTGGGGGAATTGGGTTGTTGATTGATTGTGCTCCAACTGCAGTCACAGTAAATTTTTAAAATTCGTTGAGTGTGGATGCGATTTTTCGCTCTCTGTGATACCATAAATTAACCGAAAATCCCGTTCAACACCTACTCATCTGCGCCAATTTGTAGTATCTATTGTGACCAAAAAATCTAAGATAGTCACAAGAACTCCAACCGGTAATTAAATAATTCATTTCAAACACCTGACGTTAAAAAATTTGCTAATTTAAGCAAATTTACCAAATAAAAAAGGAGTAATCTTAAACAAAAAACCCGTTTAAAGCCAAAATGTCTTCGAATCGTGCACCAAAGTCCGGTTTTGCTGCTGAGGCACAACGCAAAGTAAGTACAATAAAAACTTTGGAAGGGAACAAATTAAGGTTCATAACAAGCGTGTAGCAAGGAGCTCAACATTTTTGTTTTACCAAAATAAAGCCGTAAATGTGCACATATTCTATGCTTGCTTAGGGAAAACTTTCATATATGTACTAACGTAAGGAATACATACATGTATATTTATGAACAAAAGCGCGGCAAACTTTGACTGCCAATGGCATGCGTTTGGCTTCACACGAAGATGCACTGGGCGACCTTCAGAATTTCGTACGTAGCTGCAGTGAGACCTCGATAATTTTGAAAATAATAGGATACATTGCTCCTTTCAAATTATTTACATTTAAGTATATGTACGTATTTTGATGGCATATACAGATTTGGTTAGTAAATACATATGTATGTACATAATATCCAGTACGGCGGTGGTCAAAATCTTGCAGTATTATTTTTTATACCCTTTCATTTATTCATAAAACATTGCATTTTAGATCCATCAAAAAATTAAAAAAGGAAATTTGTGATTTATGAATGTTTTTTGTATCTATAAATTCATTCATCGTTAATGGTCTTGTGTTAACTGTTAAAATTTATGAAAAGATATACACATGTAATTTGTAAATTGTTGTTGTTTATAATAATAATAATTTTTTTTATGCTGTATTCAATTAGGGATATTTTTTCAAATCTTTGCGATAACGATTTTCCGAAGAAATGTCATTCTGTTCACTTAGTGGCCTTCACTTTTGTATTAGTATACAGAAAACAAATTTTAAAGTCAATTCTTTACATCATATAAAAGCTTCCGCAAAGGCTTGTCTTCCGCCGATAACCCTAAAAAGTGGCGGGTACTTAATAGTATAATCCCCATTTACGAATTAGAGTAAAATAACACCCTATCAATTTAAAATGCACCAACTAAGGCGGTGAAATGAAAACGGTAATTCTATATATGTACACAGCTATAAACATCGCGTGCTTTATATGCAAGGGAGTACTGGCATAGATGGCACTTTTCTAAATACATATATGTACATACATACAAACATACATATTTAAATGGGAGCCGCGTATGCTGTAATATGGGAACTGGTTTCCTATCTTATACATATGTATGTCCTCCATTCAAAAGTTTAGTTACACATCTAATTATTGCATGCTTCAACTTGTGTGTTTGCACGACTGCAGGAAAAAAGTTCAAGCCAGAAACGTTTTGAGGGAATCATCGCTTTACCGATGTAATCATATATACATATGTTAGTGCGCTTCGGTATACGTTTTGGCCGAAAAAGATATTACAACCAAGCATAACATTACTTCTGTAACGAATTATATATATATATATATATATATATGTACATACATATGTAGGCACAAATGTGGCGGGAACCACGTTTGCACTTTCGAAGCAGCTGTTTAAACGACGAAAGGTTCAATGATGTCACCGCATTGTTTTGTGAATTACTCATATCCCCTCTCAGAACTAAACACTTGAAGATAATATATATATGTATGTATGTATGTATACTATTCAGAAACAAATACATACATAACCAAATTTCTAATCGTTTACATACGCTTTTTATCATTTATGATAAATCACTTTCTAAAATAAGGATTTTTGTCTCTTTATTATAAATTCTTACTACAAAATACGATATTTAACTGTTTTAATTTTCTGTCAGCCGTAAACATTTCCACAGCTAAGCTTTCATTTCCATTTCAATCATATTTTCATCTTTATTATAGCACCGGAAAGACAGTTCTATATGGCAACAACGATTTTAGCAAGCAAAGCCAAACAAAACAGTTGAAAATAAATCCATATAGACTGTTTTGTTCACCTTACACGTCATGAGGGGCGCTTTGCAACGTCTAGAATACAAGTTAGTGAAAGCTGAGCAGACAAAAATGTATTGCTGCACATTAGTACAATTGTAAATACATGTAGTATGTAAAAGACATGATTTGTGTATGCATATGCGTACGTGTGTTAAATGCATTTGCATTTGTGTGTTTAGTTCTGTTTGTCCACACAAGCACTTTTATGGCAGTAATTCTTTCTTTCACTCTACTCGAAACGTGTGTACCCTTTGGACGAAAAAATTGAATACCCGTATGCTTGTTCTATTTACTTATAAGCTATGTATGTAAGCTTCATACATATTTAAATTGAGTACGGCATGTACGGGAAAGTATGGTATCGGTAAAACAACACTGACGATCATTGAGATCACATTGATACATATACATATGTACATACATACATATGTAGATATGTATGTGCGTATGTATGAATGTGTGCAGTCATATTTGTATTCGTGCCGTTCCTATCTCTCCGTTTCGCCGAATGCCTGGT